AGATTTAAAGAACTTTCAGAAGCTGGAAGTCTGAAGATGAGCGAACTTTTCCTTTAATGGTGTCTGGTTTCCTCTCATTGGATTGAGCCCTGAGGACTGAGAGATTAGATTTTTATGTCTATATTATAATTGGGATTAGGGGTAAACAAAGTAAGGATTCCAAAGGGGGAATTGAATGAAATTGTGTCGGTGTGAGTGAGGCAGTGGTTGGATCAGATTAGGCTGCAGATCCGTCTCTGCTGCTCCTCCAGTTAATGCATCTTCTTCAGACTCACTGAGCGATCTCCCTGCAGCTTATCTAATGGTAGAAATGGCATTTCATTAGCCTCTCGTCCCGCAGAGCTCCGCATGCATACGCAATAGCTCTGCACATCATTTCTCATAACGACACATTATTGATCCCGGGCCCTTACCTTAGCTCAAGGAAAAGGGCTCTCGGCGCTCCGGGGCCCTGATCATGCAGGACCATAAGGAATTAAAGCCAAATTAAATTTGACAGCGTTAAATGTCATAGCAATCTATATGCAAAGTTAAAAAAATGACTTTTATTAAAAATTCCATTTTTTTCTCCTTCCTTTTTGTCAGATGTTTGGGTACGGCGGTTATTCCTGCCCCACCCCTCCCTGTTTTCCCTCTCCTGACCTTCCCTGTTTTCCCAGCGCTCCCTCCTCCTCCTCCTGTTAATATTCCCTCCCTAATGAAGCGTTTCCTCACATCCTTACGGATTCTATTTGATGTATAAATAATTAGGCTAAATGATGTGCTACCTTCAGGATTTCTGCTTTGCTTTTCTTATTCTACAAAATCATTTCTACTTAGAAGGCTCAGATTTCCTGTCGGCTCCATTATTATTGTTCAGCAGTGGATTTATTTAGCTTAGATTAAACAGCAGTTTGCTCTTCCTGACTCACTGAACTCTTCATCATGATGATGCTTTTGATGATGGTCCAACCTGTTCAAACAGCCTCTGTGGAAATCATCCTGCTCCGTCCAAATGACAGATTGGTCATGTGATGACGACATGTCAACATGTAGAGACGGTAGAACTAAGATGCTTTTCCTTCCTGCTGACTGTGAGCTGAAAGCTGCTGGAAACGGTTCTCCTCTCCTCCTCCTTCCCTTTCACTGTGCTCCTTTCTTGGGGAAACAAAAGTGGCCTTTATCTGGAGTTTTTGCCTGATCTCTACTGCCCCCTGCTGTCTGTTTCACATCACTGCAGTAGATATTTCAGTGAATGAAGCCTTTACAATGAGAAATGGTGACATGAGCCTCATATCTACCGACCTTTGGTCCTTCTCGGTTAGTTAGCCCTTTTTTTTCGCCCAGGAATGTTTTTATTATAAAGCTAATTTTAGGTTTCATAGCTATAAAGGCTGTTGCAGTTTATTTCTACAGCGCCAATTCACAATAAATATATATATATATAGAAAAAAAGCTTATCGATTAAAAAAAAAATGCATATTGATCGATATCGATAATTATTGAAAAGATTTGAAACCATATTTTATGTGCAGCTCTGCCTGGACATGTTATGATATTGCTAAATGATTTAATTTTAAGGTGACCAGAGAAGTGACCACAATAAATATAAAT